CAAGATGAATCTTTTAAGTTACTGTAAACAACACAAATAGCGCTCGTTTGTCAAAACGTTCTGAGTACATATAACCTCAAAACATCCAACTTTACTATAGAGCTGTCAGTTTGCCAGATTGCAACACCAGGGCTGCCAAATCCCGAAACATATAAGGCAACCTTCGTAATAATAATATAGTCGGTCTTCAGGATGACCCGCTAAAGAGGCTGGTAATTAAATCTTACCGAAGTATGGGAAACAGGAATTGAAAGAGTAGCAAGAAGTGTTGGAAAGAAAACTACACAATACTCGCAGAATAACAGTGTCACTGAACTTTTAAATTAACATAAAATGTGAGTCACAAAAAGTGTGAAATAAATCGTGAAGAAACAAACCACTCCGTGGACTATATCTAAGAATTGACAAGGCTCCGATTGTCATTTTTGTCGCTTAGAAGAAGAATGAAACCAGAATCGGAAACATTCGTCATTGCTGTCCGAGATCAGGCGTTGAGAACACATACCATGAAACTGTTTTCAAAATTTCCCGAGATAAATACCGCATTTGCCAGGAACGAGAGGAAACCATTGATCTCGTCTGTTTGTCCAATTCTATAAAACACTCGAATACTTGAAAAATGTAGTAGGGCGTGTAATTATTTCCATTTGGCAGATCTGTAACACCATCAAATTTCCAAACACTTGCTGAAAGTGATATGAACACTCACTAAAATCGGTGAAGTCTGATGGATTGTGTTAAACCTTGTCCGACCAACGAACTAATCGCACGATAGCGGCAAACAATCCGGACATTGTTCTACGGGATTTGGAGAAAAAAGTGTCTTAGAATTACTGATATGCTGTACGATTGAAATGTAACCATTAAGGAAGAGAAACATCTTAAATGCAAGAGTTTGGAAATCGAGAGCAGCCGAATGTGGAGCAAAAAAGCACAGGGATTAGTAGTAGGATAATCCCGTTTGTAATCGGAGCTCTGGGATTTGTTCTTCAAAATGTTGGCAAGAACTTGGCTTAAGTCCCAAGTCATTTAAAAGGTAGGGGTGTGCAAGACATTGCTTTATTGTGAAGCCCACATTTTGCGCTAATTATTAGAGATGCACTGTCCCTATATCAGCTCCTCAGGAATCTAGTTGCTACTTGGAGTAAACTTAATAATTAATCGACCCACAATATCTTTAGTCGTGAAGTGAATAAAATTAATATAAGAATTACAGGTGCTACAGCAGCACGTACTTTCTCAAGATATTGTTAATGGATGTACAATATAATGACAATTTCAAATTGACACTTAAAGTACCATTTGAAAAATTCGTCAACAAATGAAACGTGAAAAAGTACATTTTTTTCCTATTCGAATGATTCATCGAAAACAACTTTTGCCAATGAATTTAGTGAATTCACATTCGACATAAATGCAAAAACTATGCACGATGTGTATTTTAGCGGCAATAAAATTATTAGTTTATATTAAAGCGAACGAACGGCAGCCGCCGTTATCGCATTCTATTATCAGTGCGGTGTTACAAGTAACAATGGCTGCTAATTCGTATGAATACACATTTTGCCAACTATCATTGTTGATACCGCGAGCAAGAAAATTATAATGAATAGAAAAATATTTAAATATATTTTTTCTATTCATCATAATTACTCGTACTCATGGTATTTTGCATGCGTAATAAAAGCAAAGCGAAATCTGTTCGTTTAAGACGATAGTGATCCCTTAAGTTCTTTCCTTTAATAAAATCTGCCCATTAAACATAGTTTTTGAAATAAGGTTATGTACAATTTTTCGAAAATTCTGTTATTTTTCGCGTCATTTTGTTTGAAATATAGGCAGGTTTTAATTTTTGTTTAAACATTTTTTTTCAAAAACGCTCCTTCTTTTTCATGAAATTTTGGTTAAAAACCATGCTTTTTCGAAAATTTACAACTACTACTAATGCCCCTACTCCATATTTCAAGTGCTTCGTGAAACTTATTTTACATATGTTTTGATGCATTTGGATGTTACGAAAGTTAGACTTCGTATATTATTTCATATTTGTTCGTTTCATCTTCGAGCTTTTGTTATAGGTTTAAAATTTATCTTTTAGATATTATTTAAAACCTATTTGAAATTGCTTCCTTTAATTGAGTTAAATGTGAAAAAGAATGATGATCTCGCGGTGCTTTATATGATGTGGGGAATTATTAATTATGCATGTTAAAACCGAAATTTTGATGAATATAAAAATATATTTAATTATTATTTATCTATTTTCATTTTCTTGTTAACGGTATCAACAATGCTAATTGGCAAAATGTGTATCTTATCCAATTTCTCGGCCAATGTTGCTTGTAACCCATTGTTGTAACGCCGCATTGATAACAATGCGATAATGAATGCTGCCATTTCTTTGGCGTTAATGAAAACTAATCATGTTATTGAACGTGAATACACTGAATTCAACGGCAGTAAGCTATTTTCGTTTCTGTGCTTTTATTAAAAACATTTGAATTTTTCACGCTTCGTTTAAGAATTTTTTAAATGCTTGGTAGTTGAATTGTATGATTAAAAATTGTCATATGATAGTACATAGTCATTAACAATATCGCGAGAAAGTACATGCCGTTATAGCTCCTCTAGTGTTTCTACATTTAGCAACTGGAATTATCCACTTTCTTTTCAAGGCCCGGCAATAAGTTTTCCCCGCAACTTTACATTACTGTCTCTATACTGCGTAAGCGATATCAAGAAAGTAACAATGTGGTTTAAAAATATTGTTCCGAATACTGTGATACTGCTTAAAAGATAAGTCGAAGAAATATATGAAAGATGGGAAGGCAGATGCTGGAGATAACGGTAGTGGAAATGGTAGTGTTTGCATTTCATGATGTATTGTTGAGCTTGTGTTATTGCCTGAAAATAATATATGTTCAGGACCCTTAATGGTCGTATACTCGTGGTGCGTGTTAGAATGATACTTGTGGCAATATAGATATAATTTATTATTAATTATCTTATTTTGCAATTTTTTATATAAATTCTAAGTTATTAGATTTATTTTAGTATTGTAAAGTATTGTTTAGTATTAACAATCATTTTAAAAGGTTTTTAAAAAATGTGACCGATCTCCATTTAAGTTGACACATCTACGCGTTTTTTTTGTTGTTGTTTTTTACCCAAAAGGTTTATGTGCTGTTAATTTTGTTGTAATTCTACTAGATGGTGCTGTAGAAGAAAAATATTCATGCCAAATGCAACCCTGCAGCGTTTAAAAAAATCTAGTATATAACTCAAACTAAGCGTTCTGGAACATAAAAAACTAAAATTTTGAGATCAAAGGCCTCAAAGAAACGTTTCTGACGCCGTAATCTACTGGATGAGATCTTGAGCATGCTATTACATTTTTGCTGGTCCGGCGTTTCTCGATATTACCCTGTCTGCTCAGAGATGTTCAGAATATTGAACTAAATGTGAATGAGGGACTGGTTGAGGCAGTGATAGAGGAAGGGGAAATATGGAGATAAAGACAGGACGTCTGCCGGGTACTGCTAGTCTCTATATAAGTTTTGATGGCAAATTTCAGATTCCTAAACAACACTCCAAAACGGAAGTAGTAAAAAATTATCCACGTTTAATTTACAATAGCTCCTGTCACCACGTAATGAATGAACTACGTCCAAGGGTAGAGCTGAGTTGGTATAAAATTGGCATCTTCGCCTTCTTGCTCTTTTTTCATGATTTTGCTTCATTTTTTCATGATTTTTAATGCTTGGTATTTGCAAAGAGTACTGCGTGGTGCGAAAAAGATAATTAACTAAGATGTTATTATCAAGGCAGATATTGATACTGAACATTCATGAAGGTTTCTGAACAGCCATTCCAATGGATACATTTTCTCTAGAAGTGTAGCAAGGGCTGAGGATTGCACATATGCGATTTAAATTGTTCGGAGTGAATATCAGGCTGCTGCGTAGTGCAAAGACAAGATGAATCACCCCACCACTAATTTCATTTTCTGTCTCGCGCTAATCGTTTTTTTAATTCTTGTTAAATAATGTTTTCAAGAACTTATTTATATTTCGCTTGTGTTCTTTTTATACGTGGTTAAGTGGGGAGCTGGCCAGAATGCCCAAACCTCACTAGAAGCATTTTACTAATTCATTTATTTATAGCGTTCTGAGGCATTTCTACTTGTAAAATGTGCTATGCAGATGTTTTATCAAAGCATTTTAACCCTTGACTTCTACCAAAACATTTGAACCCTTGCGATTACATCGCACAAAAGAAAACATACGATAAATTGGAACAAAAGCACGAAATATCGATAGCTTAGCTCGCATGTACAGAAATCCAATTTTTGAGAAAACTAAACTTGAAAGTTCGTAAGGGCGGTTATAATTGGCCGGCAATGTTCGCTTCATAACAAGAGAGAAGAGTCCCGTTAAATGTTGTATGTTATTGTACACTGAGTACGAGTTGTCCAAAAATGATAGTGTCAAAAATGACCATTATGAGGCATAAATTTTTTGTTCTTTAAGCTATCAAAATGCACTGTACGAAAAAATTTAAAACCTCAAAAATTGTTTCATGATGTTCAGTATTTATTCTGCAAGACTTAATCCCGGTTTAAAATTCTGGAACAATTGAATCATTGTTTAGTGATACCTTAAATATTTACAAAATTTGTTGTATATGCCAAGATCTAGATCTGTATGTTGAGGTCTGTTGCAGGAAATGCTAAGCACCAGAACGTAATGCATTGCATAATTATAAGCACTGTTTGTGTGTGAAGATATGTCAAAATATTAATGGACATTGCATTTATATTAACACATACATCAGGCATGTCAGTAACTTTACAAATTGTTGTTTATAATGTCCTATTGTCTGTGGCTAAAACCCTTGTCCGTCCCCCCTCCCCCGCCCCACAACTAATGATGGTTATTGATGTTGATTTGGTGTGTGCTGTGCAGGAAAGCGGGCGAAGGCGTCCCATTCGAGAACGAACGGGAAGAAAAAAGGGTCAGCGCCGCCCGCCAAAAGAGAGGTAAGGAGCAGAGCGACGACTCCGGCCCCGGCCCCGGTGGGAGAGAGCGGCGGCGCGTCTGGGCCGGAGGAGGAAGAGAAGGGGCGGGAAGAGCAGAGGGAGGGGCGGCGCCCCGCATCCGCCCCGCCTCGCTCCCAATCCGACCGGCGCGGACGCTACACATGCGCCGAGTGCAACAAGAGCTTCGAGTTCCGCTCCTGGCTCAAGGTGCACCTCCGCCGGCACACGGGCGAGCGGCCGTACACCTGCCCGGAATGTCCGCAGACGTTCGCCATCGCGCAGAACCTCAAGCTGCACAGGGTCACCCACTCCACCAAACGGCCGTACAAGTGCCCGCACTGCGACCAGCACTTCGCGCTGCTGCAGCGTCTCAAGAGCCACCTCAAGGTGCACACGGGCGTCAAGCCGTTCAAGTGCTCTGTTTGCGGCTACTGTACCGCCTACTCGAGCGACCTCATCCGTCACAAGCGGGTGCACACGGGCGAGCGGCCGTACAAGTGCCCCGAGTGCGACTACGCTGGCATGTGCTCCACGCACCTCGTGGCGCACCGGCGCACGCACGAGCGCGCGCGCGAGCAGGCACAGGAGCAGGCGCGCCTGCGGGCCGAGGCCAAGGCCCGGGCGGCGGCGCAGGAGGCCAATGCGACCTGTTGACGGCGCGCCGATCTTAGGCAAGCGCAGGGGTGGCCTCTCGCTGGGTGCGGGCGCCGCCGGGGGCAGGAACCTTCCACGGCGTCCTGAGGCGAGAGGCCCCGTTGGCTGGATGATCGATCTAAAGTTGAGGCGAGTGATTGGCGCGGTCGGGGTACTTCACTGCGTCACCTTCTCGGCGTTCGGAGCCCGTAGCAGAATTGTATTGTTCACTTCGTGTAAATGGTCGTTTCGATTATGTTTTATTGCTTATTATGTTGCACAAAAAGGTGAGACAGACAAGGAATACGCTCTTTAAGTACTAAAATAGTAATTTAAAGCGCAAAATGTGTGACGTCGAACTTAAAAAGAAATTAAGAATTAGTTGACATTGCAATTACATCCGTTAGATGCAGGCTCGTTACTGGGGAATAACGTTACCCCATCCCTCTCCCCGCAAAATATTTCTGTATATATGTGTATATTGGATGGGGCTTAACATCGTTGATTATAGATTAATATGGAAGGAGGTAATCGCAAACATGATTTTTTAACACTAACATTACACATTTTGTGCTTCAAATTACTATTTAAGTATTTAATGATTTTCTAAAATTAAGAATGTGGCAATAAAGACTTGAAATGTTAACGTGATATAAAGAAATAAGAAAATTGCTAACTCGATGGGCAAAAAGAGGATTAGTTATAATAACTGCATCGTGAATGAGATAACAGGCATTAAAATATTACAGATATCACTAGAATTTTGATAATTTAGAGAATTTACGTTTTTATTGATTAAGTCGGCTTTATATATTTGTCATTTTTTAAATTTTTCTTAGATACGACTGTGCATTCGTAGCAAATGCAAAAAATGGTAATAGAATCGCCATTACCACAAGCATGTGTCTGTTGAATTTATTTGTTTTATTGTTTTTGTTAAATAATTGATTATGCTATTGCATTATCATCGTCATTGAATGTTGTCGCCTAATTCTATCATATTTATTTTTTTGATAATCGTTTTTGATTCTAATTATATTAGCTCGTTGTTGCTTCTTTACCATTCTCTCTCTTTTCGCTCCTTTTTTATCTCGCTTTATTATATGACGTTCATAATTTCTAGTGGCTTACGGAAGTTTTACACAAGTGTAGTTAAGCTATGCGAGTGTTTGGGAGGTTTTGGGAATCTGAGCCGACCTTATGAGTATAATCGAAATGGAAACACTGCTTTGGATGTGATGAGATTGAAGTAAGGAAAATATTTTGAATAAATTAAGTAAAATAATTTTCTCTAGCCAGAGTCATTCTGAAATCACGATCACGAAGTTGTATTCGAGCGTTAGACGTCGGCATCAACGACCACTGCTGTGGTTCATTCCGTTATACGTCGCCCCCTTCTTTTTGAGATTAGTCTGCTGCGAAACTTCACAACTCGGACATGCGCATAGCGTTTTTAATTATTAATTATGAAGGCTCTAATTGTATTTGATTTGGTGATATTAGTTCAAAGACACCAAAAGCGTCTATTGCAACGGTGTCGTTAAATTGATCGTCGACAAAAACTTGTATCCCCAGCGCGCGTTTATCGAACAGGGGGGCATCAATTCTGGGCCCATTATTCTATTAAACTTTCATTATTTATGAAATACTAGTAAATAAAACATACAGGAATATTACAATTGTATTAGTTGAATATAACGTCGACAACGGTCTAAACCGTTTGATTTTTTTCCATGTGATTAAAATTTTCAAATGTAATGCATAGCTTTGTTCAAATAAGTTCTTGCAATCTCTGGCATTCGGCATACCTGTGAATTGTAAAGCGAGTAATCTTATACTCCCGTCCAAAAATTCCCAACACCAATGACCTTGCATGTATCCATACGAGATATGAACTTAATCGCGGTAAAAATAATTGCTGGTATTATTGATGTGAATAGTTAGAATTTAGTACAGCTACATTTTGTACGTTTTTTCTCTTATACTCAAAAAATGACCTGTATTCCTTTCTACAGCATTATTCTCTAATCCTAATATATGATCATTCTGAATTAGTTCCAAAAATTGTGATAATCTTCTACAATTACATTTGATTCTTCCCTAGAATTTGCACTCTTAAGAACGTAAATATGCAAAGTCGAATACGCATGTGCTTCTATTCTCTAACATTACTCACGTGCCGATTTTCTCCGTATTGGCGACCTTCAAATTTAATAAGTTCCAAGGTAGCACTGCACGTACGTGTTTGCAAATTTATTATTAAAAATACGGTAATTCGGACCATCACTATACTTATGTTCAATACATCATCACTATTGACAGTTCTGCCGAGTTTTTCACATGTTCCGGAACACATTGTTGCCATGCTCGTAGAAGTAAATTGTCGTGTTGTAGAGCGAAAATTCAGTGTTCTGGGGTTTAATCAACGCCACCGACATACAGTATTTAGGTGGCGTTGATTTAATTCTCCGTCTACCCCCTAAATCGAAGCACTGAAACACGCAAAAATGTATTTTTGAAAATTTCGTAAAATATTTTGGTTGGCTCCGGAAACAAATTATCGGTTCCCCATCTGGAGACACACACGCGTCGAATGCCACCTTATATGTCTATTGGTGAACAGGATGTGGTCTAACCGTGAGTGACGAATATGCACACTCGCAGTTGCTCAAATACAATATTGGGATATTTATTGATTGAAATAAAAAATACGCGATATATTTTATGATAAATCATTTACGCGGTTGCCAGATGGCTTGGAGAACGCCATCCCCAAATGTACAAATTTTCATGTTAGAAAACATTTCAAAAGAGGGGCAAATTCCTTCAAATTTCTCCATAATTGTTTACGTACCTTCTTTGAACATACCGCTATTTAACTCCCGAGTAATCTCAGGAATAATATCTAGGGCTAGGATGTATATGTACTATACACGCAAGTTCTCTTGATGTTCCGCAGCGCGGGGGGGGGGGGGGAGAGGAGGGCTCTAGCTATGTCACGGCCTAAAAGGGCGTACCAACTGTGGTCACTCGCCAAAGAGTGCCAGGAGACCGAGTGCCATGCTACAATTGTTTTGAAAGTACGAGACGGTGTTTGCCAGTATCGTAAATTGGAACGTGCCGTTCCGAGTCTAACCTAAGTATCTCAACGTGCCATGCTAGTCAGTGCTGCGTGAGGACTAGGGAGCTCGTGTATCAAGAAAACGTGCGCGAGTAATAATTAATATCCATTAATAGTAAGTGTTTATTCATTAGTAATGTTTAAGGCTGCTTATGACCTAATACATCGCCAAAACTTATCAATAAATTGCTCTTAAAATGTTTTTAAAAGTCCTAAAACCAAAGAAAAATGACGTAAAATATGTGATCAAAACCAGTTCGGATGAACACGTCAAGCTGTTCGATACGTTAGTGATGTAATCGAGGCTTCCATTCGTTCAAGTGAACTCAGCTTGCAAACTTTTGGTTTGGGCTGTTCTTTCCCAGAAAATCTCCGTTTAGTTATCCCAAAATCGGCCGAACCAACAATGATGATGATAGGCGTCACAGGAATCTTAGATTTCATACAACGGCTGGCATTACGAATAAATAACAAAGCGAAGAAATGGAATGGGTTACTCAGGAGTTCTGTGAACATTAATTGTTGCATCTCGTAAATATATTTTGAAGCCAGTACCATTTAAATATTAAAGTCGATGAAATCAGCAAACAAATACATTAAAAGTAAAAAGGTAGATAATAACTTATTAACCAAAATTGACAAAAAATGCATAATTTCCTTTTGTCATGACAAAATTAATTTCTGTTCGAAACGGATTTATTCTCAAGTGATAAGAAGAACAACTTTTCATTAAAATCTGCTCCTTAGTTATCAATTTTGTCATATGTTTAAGACTGAATTTTTTCGAGTGATTTGAAACAGTTTTGATTATCCATATTTCTATTTGTAGCAAGCACTATATTAAGAAAAACTCGTTTCTTTGGATATTTCAACGTTTTGCTTGCAATATTTTTTCATATTACCTTCTTCTAAAGCTCTACGACCTTCAAATGAACGTTTGGCTTGTTCAACTATCCTTTTCTATTTTTTTCCTATTCTTAGAGTGCTCGATCCAATTTTCAATCTTCATTTTCTTGATGTCTTTGACAACATCTTCCTATCTATTTTTAGACCTTTCTCTTCTGGTGCAGACTGGATTGCAGATAAAGATCTTGTTCACTATTTTGTCATGCAATATCCTATTAAGATAACTTCGCCAACTTAATGACTTCTCTCATGGCTTTGATACAATGTAATGTATTGGTATAATATCCATTTCGAAATTGTTCCTAAAACGCTATCTCCATTGGGCATTTTAACTGATCCGAATATCCTTCTCATAATCCGCCTTTCAAAAACCTCAAGAAGCTGCGCATCCTTTTATTTTATAGTCCACATTTCTGCGGCGTATGTTACTAGTCTAATTACTGTCTCGTACAGTCTTAGTTTTGGGCACTGTGATAACGTTTTTACTTTTAAACAGCTGCAAATGTGCAAAATATTATGTTTCCCGCTACTATTCTTGCTTTTATTTCTTCCACGTCATTGTTGCAAGTAAAAATTGCTCCTAAGGTACTATAAAAGCTCACTTCTTCATAGCCTGTATTGGTCATCTGAATTGGAGTTAATTGGGTAACTTTGGCCTTTCATCTCATGTATGTTCGATTATCATTGAAAAATGTATTTTTCGAAAACATATCCTTTAACAAAGGTGTTCACTCTTTCTTCCTGTAATTTAAAAAGCTCTCTTTGTCGATTCAATAAGAACAATCTTCAGAAGTCACCAATTCCGAGCGAAGTTAACGTAGCGTATACGGTTTTCTCCGCGCTTTCGGGGTCACAGATGGAGATTCAGAGCTGCGTCAACCGCGCGACTGAATGGGCCGAAGCTTGTGGTCACTTCACGTACCAGCGCGACTCGTGGCAAAGCATTGGTTTAAACGGAGATATACACACGAGCGGTGATGTCGCGCTGCTG